GTGAATGTGACCTTGGTGGTGGAGGTGACTTCAGCTGTTGACTTTACTTCCTCTCCGTCATTGTGGAAGCGGAGAGAGCAAAGAAACTCAATGGTGACTTCCAGGCTTGCTGGTGCTTGCAGGAACAGCAGGATCCTCCATTTTGGGTTGTACAGAAACTCATCGATGTCCTGCCAGTGCCCTAGTTCATCCAGATAGGCAGGGTCTAACACCATGGGAGGCTGGAGCATCTTCGTGTTTCCCCAAGTGAGAAACTTCTTCCTTGCTTCCTCTGAGTGCAAGGTGAGCTCTTCCAGGTTCTACAATGTGCGGCGGTTTCCATGCGGAATCATCCAAGCAACATCCATCTGTAAAAAAGTATAACGAGTAAAATCTTGCCCCCTACTGGTGCGGCAAGTAAAATATAAATAAGCATTTTAAATAATTTAATTATCTGAATGACGGGTTGCCTCCCGTTTAAGCGCTTCTTTAGCGTCCGTAGCTTGACGCTGACCCATTTTTTCCGCGACTTTCCGATTCGAGAGTCATAAAGTTTGGCCCTTTTGACTCTCTTCTGATGCCACCCTGTTGGAACTTTTGCTCGGTCAAGGTCCAGGATCCTTGACTCATCCCTGTGGCTTGGTGGCAACAGGGTATAAGGAGGAGACTCTGTATAGGTGGGTGGGGGCGGAAGTCTCCTCAATAGATCCACATCGTTAGCCTTGATTGCGAAATTGTTTTCTTCCTTATCTTCAATTGGCTGACTATCCATTTGTGGTTTGATGATTATGATCGTATCCTCCCCCAAGGAAGAGTCCTCGTCGTCACTCATTAGAAGTTCATCCCAACTCTTTAAGTTCCAACCATCCTTCAAGCAGACATAGTCATACTCGTCAAGCAGGGAATCAAAGAAAGTATGGTCTGAGGCTTCAGATGAATTATTAGTTATAAACGAATTTAGTTCATCAGAGCAACGTACTTCCTCGTCTGTAGATTCCTGCTCGGACTTAATTGAATCTTGGGGGCAGGTAATGGGTTCTACTTTCTCCAGAACAGGTTCCTCTCGAGGTGTGTCTTGAACACAATTAAGGAGATGGTCGTTTATTGCTGTAGGCAAAACTTCCTCCTCCTTTTCTTGAATGAGCGTAGGTGGTTTTGAGTTAGGTCTCTCAGTTGGTTCCATCTCATGTACGACTATGCTGGTTGTGACTTGGCTAGGAAGGGATTTAGGTAACATCACCACAGTAGCCCTAGCGAGAGTTGTTATGCTCTCGGGTTTCTGTGATGGTGTAAAACCGGGTAAATCCTCTAGAACTGGCACCTGATGGTTGGATGGTTCAGGGTTGGTCTTGGGTTCTAGAGCCTCGTTTTGAGCATTAACT